TTTTTCGCGTCCTCTGGGGGCCTGAAATGTTGATTTTTCGGGCCTTCTGCGGGCCTGGAATGTGATTTTTCGGCCTCTGTGGCCTGAATTGTTTGATTTTTCGCGGTCCTCTGGGGCCTGAATTTGTGATTTTTTCGGGGCCTCTGTGGCCTGGAATTGTGATTTTTCGGGCCTCTGGGGCCTGAATTAAAATTTTTTACGGACCCTCTGGGCCTGAATGTGATTTTTTCGGGCCTCTGTGGCCTGAATTGTGATTTTTCGGGGCCTCTGTGGGCCTGGAATTTGTGATTTTTCGGGCCTCTTGTGGCCTGAAATTTGTATTTTTCGGGGCCTCTGGGCCTGAATGTGATTTTTCGGGCCTATGGGGGCCTGATGTGATTTTTCGGGCCTCTGTGCCTGAATTGTGATTTTGGGCCTCTGTGGCCTGAATTGTGATTTTTCGGGCCTCTGGGGGCCTGAATGTGATTTTTCGGGGGCCTCTGGGGGCCTGAATGTAGATTTTTTCGGGCCTCTGTTGGCGCTTTGGAATTGTGATTTTTTCGGTCCTCTGGGGGCCTGAATTGTTGATTTTCGGGGCCTCTGGGGCCCTTGAATTTGTGATTTTTTCGGGGCCCTTCTGTGGCCTGGAATTTGAAATTTTTTCGGTTCCTCTGGGGCCTGAATGTGATTTTCGGGGGCCTCTGGGGCCTGAAGTGGAATTTTTTATTTTTGTTTTTTTTTGTGGGGGCGTTTGCCGCCATTTTTATTCGGTGGGCAATTTGAGCGGCTGCTGCCGCCTTCGTTTCGGGCGGGCTGCTTTGCCGCCTTCATTTCGAGCGGGCATTTTTCTAACTAAAAAAAAAACCTTGTTTGTTGGTTTGCTCTTCTTGGACAATATCATTTATCCTTCTTTCTCCTTCCCTAATTTGTTACTCTGTTGACTTTTTAAAGGAAATAGAATCACTTCTTTCAAACATCACAGCCATTGCTGTGACACCCGCATGTCCACACATAATTGTCATAAGGGCATTTGAGTGGATTGCCATATTGATTTGGAATTTGAGAAGAAATGCAACGTGATGTGTGTTGAGTTCGCCAAACCCTTGTTTAAATATATTTTTAGGGTAAAAACTAGGAAAAAACCCTATGTGACTTCCCAATTTTAATAACTAGTTGCTAAAGATTAATGTATTTTCCCCAAATGGTTTTTTAATGCCCACCAAATCTTACGAACCCGAGGGGATGGATCCCGGAAGGACGATTATTGTAACATTGCCAGAAAAGAGTTGTTATATGTTGAGAAGAAAAAAAAAAATAAAGATTTTGTTTTTTTTTTTTAATATTGCCACCTTATCTCTCTTATA